TCCTAAAATAAGCAATGAGCTGCCACTGTAGGTCAGGCAGGCTCAATCTCGTGCTGTTTTCAAAACTCTTTCAAAAACACAACTTTTTTCCTTGGCTTTTAACCCATTGTGAGTCTTAAACTTTTACCCTTTGTATGTACTTGCACTGATTTATTGTTTTATTCTTGTTCTCTTATATTTCTTTTATACAACACTTTGGTCAGCTATTTATCTTTTTTTTCTTTGATAGAAATGAGAAATATCTTGCTTTATAAATTTGAAGTCTGCAGTATGTATATACGATGTAGAAAAGAGTAAAAACAAAGAAAAACCATTAAATAAGAAGGTGTGTCCTGTTGGTGTATGTTGATGACAATGTCAGCCAAAATTTGGATTCATGACACCAATAGTAAGTTAGTAGACTTGCCTAAACGATTCCCAGGTTAGTGAAATAACAAACAAACAAACATTAAAAGTAGAAGGTCAAGTCCAAGGTTTGGTCCTGAAATATGGGAAAATCCAAAGAAAAACTTTGAGAGATCACTTAAGATCACTTAAAACACATTATTGAAATTGTTTTTAACTTTCCTGCTGTGGTTAGTCATCTTTTAACTGCTTGTGTGCTGTTCAAGTGGTTTTACATGTTATAACTATCTTGTTATTCTGTTGCCAGCTGGGTAGAGTTGTTGCCGCTGCTGGAGAATAAATATGGTGCCAACAAGTGCTACATGTTTGAAAATAACGTGTTCCCCATCAATATCACGTTGGCTCCTCCAGCATCCCAAAGTCTGCCACCACAGACTGACTGGAAGAATGTCACTGGTGTGAACATTTTGGCTCACCTGTACCAAGAACCAATCATTGAGGAGACTCGTTACATTAACTTCAAGATCATTGTCAACCCTCGAGCAGTGTTTTCCACAACTGTTCATGGGATTCTGAACTCACAGCATGGCTGCTCCTGGATCGACAGGAGCATAGCACGGATGTACCACACAAGGTAAATTAGTTAAACGATTCCTCATCATTAGTTGCTACAAAACCAGCAAAAATTGTGCCCAATCCCATGATAGTGGGAGGATAGGGGCGATCGT